TGAGAAGGGAAGGAAATTGGCAGACAGCTGCCTGCAGGGAGCTCTCAGGCTAGCTCCGCACATAAAGCACAGACTCGGGTGCAAAGTGGGTGGAATTGGCTACGGGGCAGCAGGCCTCACGTGGGCCGGCCCTTAGCCCTGGTGCCTGCCCCTGAGCAAACAGAGCAGGCAGGGTGGCTCAGAGGCTGGTCTGGCCATGGACAGAGGGACAAAGCAGGAATGGAGACTAAGGTTGAGTGACCTTTAGAAGTCAGTGGATCACCATCAAATTGGTATTAACTGATCAACACTTAAGTGCACATATAGTAGTAACATTGATCAGGTGTCGGGCAGGTGGCGGGGTGGGGGGAAGAGGGGATGGGTATATACATACCTAATGGGTGCGGTGCGCACCGTCTGGGGGATGGACATGCCTGAAGCTCTGACTTGGGTGGGACAAAGGCAATAAACATTTGTACCCCCGTAATATGCTGAAATTTAAAAAAATTAAAAAAAAATAGAAGTCAGTGGAGAGGAGACAGTGTTCCTTCTTAGGACGCCCCCATCTCAGGAGTGCTGCTCTAGCCAGGTGGTGTCCCCAGGAACCCTAGACCCTTCCTGGTGTTGCACTTGGGGACTTTGGGGGCTCCTCAGCCTGTGGGACTCCTAAACTTGTCTCTTCTTCCATGTTCCTCTCAGGAGCAGTGGCACGAAAGTGTGGGGCACCTGAGAGTTTGCCAGACGCTCTCACGGGCCCTCCTACTGAACGAAGCCTCAGGACAACCCCACTGGGTCATCATAGCCTGAGAAATAGCAAAGTCCCTTTAACCCTGGGCCCCAGGACCCTGGAGCCCAAGGTCATATACCTGGTTCTGCCACCTGTCTATTTAGTTTTCTGGGACTTTGTACCTATTTGGTGTCTACAGGGGGTACCTCTCCCATTCAGGTTGACTGCCCGAGCACAGGAGGATTCAGGTTTGAGTGATGCCCACCCTCCCACCTAACCCCACCTGGGCTTCCTCCCTGCTCCCATCTGATCCTCTTACCTGCCCTGCCTGGGAGGCAGGTGAACAAAAAGAAGAAAAAAGGATCACCACTAATCCTGTCACCCTTCCAGTGTGTTGTCTATAGATGTAAATATTTTTAATAGATTCTGCCTGACTCTTGGATGCATTTATGCAGGCTTCCATGTCATGAAATACTCTTTCGCCCTTTCAGTGACTGCAAGCCTTGGGCACGAGGCTGAGCACACTTCTCCTATTCCCTGTTTTTGGCCACTTGGGTTGCTTCTCATTTTCCCCAATAGCTAAACACACAGCTATCCCATCCGCCGGGGTTTCAGGGATCATTTCAGCGTACGATGCGGTCCAGGGTTGAGGGAGAATTGCAAAAATGGTCAGGATGGGTTCAGACGGGAAAGGCGTTTTGGAAGGTGACTTTTGATGTGCTACTTTCAGGGTAAGAAGGTATTTCATACGGAGAATGGCGGTGACAGAAGTGCAGAGGCCATAGTGAATGTGGCCTGGGTGGGGGTGGAGCAGATGGCAGCACAGGGTCAAGGAGAGGGGGCCCACGTGGGGGGAGGGGAGGGCACACCACATCAGGCCCCACTCAGGGTTGTCGGGGGGGCAAATTGAAGCTCTTTGCTGTGGCCCACAAGGCTCACTTTGTCCGCTCTCCCGTGTCATCTGCACAGGTCTCTGCACTGGGCCCCCCACTTGCCCCCACCTCCCTGGAACATACACGCTTCTTTCATGATGAGGCTTCACACCTGTCGTTCCTTCTGTCTGACACACTGAGCCCCGAATCTTACCACGGCTGACCACTTCCTATCATTCAGTCTCGCGTGGAGATAGGACCCCCTCTCCGTTCGTTCATTCAGCAGATGATGCGCAAACACTATGTGCGCTCGGGATGCCGCGGGGAATAAAAGGGCAAAAGTCCCTGAATGAGAGAAAGAAAGCTGCGTCCTATGGAGGGGGGACACGGGTAGTCAACGAGATTAGTAAGTAAACTATTCTGCATGTCCAGCTGCGGCCAGCGCTAGGAGAAAAGCCAGGCAGGGGAGGAGGAGGGAGAGCGTCTGGGGAGGTCACAGCCTCAGACAGGGGTCAGGAGGGGAGACATGCGGTATCTGGAGGAAAAGTGGCCCAGACAGAAGGAACAGGGAATGCACAGGCCCTAACGAGGCAATGGTCACCACTGAGGCCTTCCGGCCACCGAACCCTGGTCACACGATCTTAGCGTCGTCCTTTCTGTCCTCGCTAGCCCTGATCTTTGTCAGAAATCTTCCCATTTTCTGATTTGCGTCCTGTGAAGTGTCTGTCGCTCCCCGTCACTGCTGTCTCCCCACCCGGGGAAAGTGCCTCCTTCCCGCCAAGCACTGTTGGGTGCTGAGCGCTGAGTGCTGCTCCTGCCCCTCCCAGGGGCCTGTGTGGAGGGAGTGCCACCCCCTTTACGGACAGCTTGGGGGAGCCTGCTCTGGGGGCACCCCTGGCCTGTTGGCCCCACCCCTCCATGGTCACTGCTGCATCACCATGGGGTTCCAGCCCCTGTGGAATGAGCAGCAGGTCCACTGAGGCCGCCCAGCCAGACCTCAGCAGCTCCCCATAAGCAGGGGCAGCCCAGGCCCCACACCACTTGGTGGCATGTGGGAAGTGTGTGTCTGCGCATGTCCCTGCCTTTTAACTGCAGGGGTACCATTAGGCACGCTCTGTCCTATAATATCCATCCTTCACTGCCTCCCAAACTCCTTAGATTTGGGAGTTAGCCAGACCTGGGGTCAATTCCGAATTCTGCCACTTCCTACTTGGTGGTCTTGGATGAGTTGCTTAGCTGCTGTGGTCTTCCTTTCCTCGCCTGTCAAGTGGGGATATTCCACTTCCTTTGAGGGGCTTCCTTGCGGGGAGAGATGTTGGAGTGTGCCATGTCCGTAAACTCACCGCAGAGTGCGAAGGAAAGGAGGTGGTCAGGACCGGACATGCGCTAACACTGACTGCAGCCATCTGGGTGGTGGGATTGAGGGAGGATTTTCTTCTCTGTATTGTTTGTTTGCTTTTTCTGCAACAAGCAGATTACTTGGTAACAATAGTACAGAAAGGGGCGCCAAGAGGTGTCTGGGGGGGTGGCTGGTGCCGACTGTCCTTCACCAGCCGGCAAGTGGGGCTCTCTCCCTCCTCCTCACCCGCACCCGCTCCCACCCCCAACTCTGCCTCGGTGTTTTTGAGCCTGTGTGCGGTCTTTGGCATGGATGGCCTGTGCCCTCTTGTGCCCCGCTGGAGTCTACAGGCCCCTGTGCCCCTCCAGGGAGTCACTCCCAGCTTCCTCTGACTTCTGACCTGGTGACCTCATCCAGGGAGAGGGAGTGAGCCCCCAGGAGTCTGGCTGCTGATTTATGAGCTGCCGCCTCCTCCAGGCTGATTGCTCTGCTGGATCCAGGAGGAGGGAGGTTGCTGAGAGTCTGTTTTCACTTCCAATCCCAGAAGCCCCCGGGGCTTTCCCAGTCTGTGCCTGTTCCCTGAACCCGCTAGGGGCCTCGGATCAAGTGGCCAGTGGGAGTTTCCCGGCTGCCTGCTCTTGCCAGTGAAATGGGAACCCCACCTCTGGCCTGGCTCCCCCAAAATGTGAAGGCACAAACCTGCTGTAGCCACCCCTCCCCTTCCCTTTCAGTCTCTGCAGAAGGTGACAGTGCTTGGGGCTGGTTCCCGGTGCTTGGTTTGGAAATAACAGACCCTGGAGATCCTTTCGCTCTCGGTGGCTGTGTCTCTGCCTCTTTTACAACAAGAAGGCAGCGCGGCAGGGGAGGGAGGTGTGGGGGCGGGGGGCCCTCCCCCATGGCGAGCCCTGGTTACTCTGCCAGAAGACCTCCCTGACTCTGTGGTGCACTTCAGACCTCACAGGGGCCTTTCATATGCAAAGCCCTGGCTTGACACTTACTTGTTGCCACTTCCTAAGAAGATACAACCTTCTGGGCATCCTTCTGATCTCAGCTGAGATGCCACCCTCTTCCATAGCACCTGCCCTCCCCACTTCGGGCAGGTGTCCCCTCTCCCTTGCCCAGAGTAAGCACCTCCAGGGTGGGGACCTGTCTCTTCCTTCCCTTTACTGTCTAGCTGGGAATGAATGCAGCCATTCTGGGGTGGGCCTGAGGCCACCAAGAATTGGCCTTGGGGTCCTGTGGTCAGCAGGAGGCTGAGCTACGGGAAGCCAGAGGCTGGAGCACAGATGATCCGTCCCCCAAGATAACCCGGAAATAGTTTCCCCTGGGCTGGGAATGCATCTGGGGCGGAGAGTTGGGCCTTGAGCTGATTTCTTTGTTGGGAGCAGATTTCTTCTCCCATTTATTCCCCCTTTGGGCCTCTGGGCAATGGAGCCTTTCTGAGTGTCCCCATCAGAGCCCATGGGGGCTGGGACAGCCAGAGATGGGTGGGGCTCAGCGGGAATCCTGGGGCTGTGGCTGCTGCAGAGACCCTCAGTTCCCCTTGCTGAGGGTCCTGTGCCCCACCCACCCGAGTGCCTTAGGACAGAGGCCTCACCCGGAGTCCCTGGACAGCCAGCCTGCTCTGAAGTGACAATGAAGAATCTGCCCTGTGTTCTGGCCTAGAATTGCCCCAGGCCTCGCTCCTGCCCTCACCTGGGCTCTGATCTGGCCTTTGTTTGTATTTCCACCTTCCTCCTGGCTTTGGAGAGAGAGGCTTAGGAAGTTTCCCTTTCTGTTTAACCCGGAGTTTTATGGTTTTTCACAAAACGGGTTAACAATTAAGCTAATTAACCTGGGGGCCTGCCGGCTCTCCTTGTTCCTATAAAGCCCGGCTGAGTGGCTTCCTCCCCAGCTTCAGGCGGAGGTCTGTCCTGTGTATGGGGAAGCTGAGGGTGTATGGGGTGATCACTGTGACACTGGCCTGGCCCAGGGTGGCCGCCGGCTGGGCTTGGGGAGAGAGGCCCCAGGCTGCCTGGGCTCAGCCTGACTGATAACTGGGTGCTGCCAGGCAGGCCCTGGCGCTCAACCCCCACCCCCCCATTTCTCTAGGTCCCCGGTGGGGGCTGCAAACGAAACAAGATGAGGCGGTTCCTGAGACCAGGGCATGACCCTGCGCGGGAGAGGCTCAAGCGGGACCTGTTCCAGTTTAACAAGGTAAGTAAGGGACAACAGGAGGGGTGACCCAGGAGTTGGGGCCAGGCTGGGCCAGGCAGCACAGGCCCGGGCTGGGGAGTGGCAGGTTGCCCTCACCTGGGTCAAGGCACAGTACTTACTTGGCACTGCCTGAAATGCCTCCTGGGACTCTGACTTTGGAAGTGGGGTCCGGTTAAAGGGCTTTTCTGGGAAAGGTAGTAGGATGCCCGCAAACTGGGACTCCTTGTCCCAAGTCTCTCACTGGCCGTGTGACCTCTGCAAGTCACTCCACCTCATCAAGCCTGTTCCCCCACCTGGAGAATGGGGATAAAATGAGCTGCCCTGCCTGCCTCATGACAGGGTTGTCAAGGACGCTCAGGGCCGTGTAAGATGAAAGGACCTTGAATTCTGCAAGGTATAATAATGTTCTAGGTCCCTTGGGGCCCCGAATCCCAGGCCATGGCTGTCCCTCCCTTCTCAAATTGCCCCCAAAGGAAAACTCAGCTTCCCTGCGGGCCAAACACATGATTCCTTCTGGCAGGCTCCAGGCCTGGATGAGTGGGAAGAGGCGCCCAGGAGAATGAGCGGAGTTGGCCCTTGCCCAATCCCAAACCTGCTCCTGAGGCCCAGAAGCTCCACAGGCTTCCTGAGGGGGGACAGGGCCAGAGAAGGTCAGTGCAGGCCTGTAAACAGCAGGTGCTCAGCGTGGCTCATTAGCTCCTTGGCCACCTAGCAATCTGGAGGCTTTCAGGGGTAATTAGCCTTCTCACCTGTGCTTTGATCTCTGCTAGGAAGGGGGACCCCAGAATGCTCCTCCCCTGGGGGTCCAGCATCCCTCAAGTGGAAATCTGATTTACACTGGGGGCATTGGTTTGGGCTTCCCTGCCCCCAAAAGAAACCAGTGGATGTTAGACCAGTTTGGAAAAGGGGTATCTCCTTGCAGAAAATGAGGAATTCTCTTTAGTTGTCTTTCGATATTGATTTGAGAAGTGCAGAAGTCAGCTGGCCCATGTTCGAATCCAGCTTTGCCACGTAGAAGCCGGGTGACCATGTTGCCCATGACTCATGCCAGAGGCTTGTTAGGGGCTATGTGGAATTAGGTAACTTAAGTGCTGGGCACCATGGCCCGGGAACGTTAGCTGCTGTTTGGGGGTGCAGGGCACCTTCCAGATCTCCCTGTGTTGGGAGAGGTGGGTGAGGGTACGCAACACACCCTGCCCTTTTCCTCCGGATTTGACCTGTGGGAGAAGGTGTCACTGCTGGACCTGTGCCCTGAGGGCTCTTGCCTCTAGAATTGGGGCTTTCCTAAGTGAGCACTCCTGCTGGCCTGCTTTTGGGCCTTGAGAAATGGGGGTGCAGCGTTGGGAATGGGGGATCTCGGGACACCTGGGCCTGCTACCCTTGCTCCAGAGAAGCCCGTGGGTGCTGGGTGTGGGTCTCAAAACTTCAGGGTCCACTGGGAGGCCTGGGTGATCCTCAACTGCCTCTAATCTCTCACTGTCAAAAGGTGGCAGGTGGCAGAAACCGGACAGACAGGCTCAGCACAAGATGAACCCCCACCCGAGTTCTGTCTGTGCAGCTGGGTGAGGCCGGGGTGGGGCTGGGGCAGAGGTATCTTCTCTCTCCATTCCCTGCCCCCTAGTGGTGGTCCCCAAATTTGGCTGCCTCACTCCCAGGCCTGGGAGTGTGAGGGGGAAGCTCCTGGAATTCCTCCCTCTGCTCTGCCTTCCTCCTTCCATTCATATGCAAGAAACGTGCTTGGAGCACCTACTGTATACATAGCCTCAGGCTTGGGGCTGGGAGAATCTCAGCTGATAAGGCCTTGCCCTCCACTTTTACAGTGTGGTGGGGCTGGGGCTGGTGGACTGAAATTCCAAGTCTTGGGAGTAGAGAGATGGAAGGGGACAGTGGCGGGAGGGGATTAGGGAGCCACAAATAGTTTCATCCAGGCTCTGGGAGTAGAGTGGAACTGGAGGGGTGGGGTTGGAGGATGAGGCCAGATCTTGGAGGGTTGGGACCTGGGGCTGTGGACCTGAAGTGGGGGGTGGCCCTGCCGGGCTGTGGGCAGGAGACGAGTAGTCCCCTTTACAATTTAGGGAAGATAAAGCTGGGATGTTTTTACTTACTGAACAAAGCAGGTAAGCTCAGAGCAGTCAGGGGTCACTGGTCAGGGGACACTGCAGGGGACACTGCAGCTGGAGCCCAGAGTAAAGGAGCCAGAGCCCAGCCAGTGGGGATGGGTCAGGGCGTGAACCCAGCAGGGTTTCTCAACCTTGGCGCTGAGACCTGGCGAGAGATTCGGCGCTGCAGGAAAGAGAGCAGGACAGGGGAGGGAGGCGAGTGTCCAGGATGACCAGTGGGGTCTCTGTCCTGCCAGGCACCAGGAGGGAGAGCCCAGGCCAGGAGGGGCGAGTGATACATTGTGATTGTTTGGGTTTGGACAGAACAGCAACAACATCCCTGCTTGTGGAGAGGCGATTTGCCCGGGGTCGGCAGTGCTGAGCCAGTGCCTGACCACTGCCGCCTGACCTCGGGCAGGTCGCTTGTCCCTAAAATGGAGATGAAAATCAACGCTACCCCATAGAGTTGGTGTGAGGACTAAGTGAGTGGCGTGTGGGCTGCTGGTTTAGGTGAGGATCAACCCCCTGGAGAGTGTTCACACTGATGACTCTGGTCACCTCTTCCAGTCGTCCTCGAAGGCCAGTCTGCGGGCACTGTGCTGGGACAGTGGCGCCGTCACAGGCACTGCCTTCTAAACCAGTTCTGGGCCTTTCTCTCCAGCCCCTTCCGGCCAAACTCCTTTACACCCACACGAAGGAGATTCTTCAAAGGGAGCAGGGACAACGCCCCAGGGGCCCTGCGAGTCTCATGTCCAGTGTCCTTGGCTTTGGAACCAGGAAGGGTTCTGTGACTGTGAACAGATTCTCTGACTCTCTGCCGGGGGCTGGCTGAGAGGCAGCTCCAGTTCTCCGAGGGCTGTGTGCCAGGCCTCCGAGGGGCCTGGCGGTGCAGTGGTCAGGGACGGGGGTTCTGGAGCTGGAACGCCTGGGTCTCGGTGCTGGCTCTGCTGCCTCCTCACTGTGTGACGTGGACACATTACCACAGCCTCTCTGTTCCTCAGTCTCCTCATCTGTAAAATGGGCTTTGTAAGGGAGCAAAAATTGGCCTCCCTCCAGCCTTTTAGGTTCCTTGGCCAGACTATGAATTAAATTGACATAAGACAGGTTAGCAGGAGAAAAACCATATTTAATTACATACGAACGCACAGGAGTTCCACAAAATATGAGACTCAAAGGGTCAGATGATCGAAGCTTATACAGCAGCCCCCCCCTTACCCCAGTTTCACTTTTCGCGGGTTCAGTTACCCAAGATCCGAAAGTAGGTGAGTCCAGTACAGGTTGAACATGCCTTCTCTGAAGTGCTTGGGACCAGAAGTGTTTCAGATTTCAGATTTTTTTTTTTTTTAATTTGGACGACGTGCGTTATACTTACCGGGTGGTTCACCATCTTTAATCCAAAATGCACCACTGAGCGTTTGTTTCCTTGAGTGTCATGTCTGTGCTCAAGAACCTTCAGATTTGAGCAGTTCAGGTTTTGGATTTTCAGATTAGGGATGCTCAACCTGTACAACAAGGTATTTTGAGAGAGTGACCACATTCACATAATTTTTATTAGAGTATAATTGTTCCATTTTATTACTGCCAGACTCATGCTGTGCCTAATTTATGCATTAAACTTTATGGTAGGTAGGTGCGTATAGGAAAAACCATAGTCTGTGTAGGGTCCCTTCTGATCCACAGTTTCAGGCATCTACTGGAGGTCTTGGGGCTACTGTGTAGTGTCCTGAGCTACAGATGAGAATAGGGCCTGGGGGGACAGCGACTGGGTTATGCGAGGGCGAGAGGAGGAAGTGTGTGCTGAATACAGGTTGTCTTGTTATGCAGACACTACCTGTCTCTCAGATAATAAAAGTTGGCTGGGAGCAGCTCTTTTCCTAAGTCTGACATCTGAAATGCTCCAAAACCCAGCACTTTTTGAGCACCGACATGATGCTCAAAGGAAATCCTCATTGGAGCATTTTGGATTTAAGATGCTCACCTGTACGTATATTGCGAATATTCCAAAATGCAGTAAATTCTGAAATCCAAAACACCCCTGGTCCCAAGCACATTGGATGAGGGATACTCAACCTGTGTTTTACTAAAGTAGATTTCCTTTATAGATGTAAACTTATTTTACAGAAAGGGTAGCTTTTCAGAGTTACTCCTGTGTCTGCACTTTCTCAGAACAACCGGCTCAAAATATGCCAAAGAAGTATATTTTGGGGTGGCATATTGTGGTCCCCTATAGTCATATTTTGGGATGGTGTGTCCTGAGCCCCAACATCATAGCAGCCCCTCCGTCCAGGCTGACGTGCTAAGGGAGTTTAATTACTTCAAATGGTGCCGGGCCCAGGCCAGCACCAAACCAGGGCCTGCCTTGTCATCACCCCATCCTCACAAGGGCTCAGTGAGTGTTCCCATTCTGCAGGGGAGGAAACTGAGGCCTCAGGGCCTTGCACAGCCTTAGCGTATCCTAGAGGGCACTGGCTGGGGACGAGGACATCCCAGTTCCATCTGCCAACTGGCTGTGTGGTCCTAGGGTGGTGGCTTCACCTCTCTGAGCCTCGATATCTTCACCTGCGAAGTAGCTGTTATGTGTGGTGGCTCCTCAAGCCTGCTGGGGAGGACTTGGGGAGACAAGTCAGCTGGCAGTGAGAGGACAAGGCCACCAAGGACCAAGTGAGGAGACCATGGGACCTCGGTAGGGAAGAAGTGACTCAGGAGGAGAACGTAACCTTCTAAAACCCCTTCCCTGCCGGCTGTGGGCAGCCTGCTCACCGCCCTGGTGAAACCCAAGCACGTTCCAAGCAGCCACGCCCATAAGGTGAATAGGCCTGCCAGGGCCCCTCCTGCCCGTGCCCACCCTCCCCACCCCCAGGCCCTGTGTGCTCCGACTGGCTGCCCCTGCCAAGGGCCAGGTTGTTTTGTCTTGGCTTTTGCACGGCTGGGCCCCAGTGTCGGGTGACAGCCACACAGGGAGGGCCAGGTTGCTGCCACCGCCAGGAATCTGAGCTGGCCACACCCAGTATCGGGCAGAGCCGCCCAGCGGGCGTGCCCCCTGTGGCCCTGGGCGGCCTCCAGGGGTTGTGGTCCCTGCCATTCCCTCCTCCCTACCCCTTGACAAGTACCGCAGGTCAGGTCGTTGCTCTGGGATGGGGTCCTCCCTGGCTGAGAGCAGGCTGAAGGGCCCCCACCGTCTCTGACATGCAACCTTTGCTACTCTCATCCATTCCGGGACCTGGAGAGGCGTCCTGGAGCCAGAGTGAGACAGATGGGCTTTCTCTACCTCTCCAGGCTAATGTTGCAGTTTGGCGGCTCCTACCAATCTTTGCTTTCCTTTCCCAGCTCTGTCAAAAGAGTTCATTGTTCTTTCCTCCCTTGGCAGAGGTCACCTGGGCCAGGTAGCAAGATGGGGGTGTGGCCAGGTGGGCTGGGTGTTGAGCTTAGGAGGTCTCAGTGGCTGCTAGGCCTTGGTCAACCTCCTTGCTTGTACCCCAGCTGGAAACAGCTGGGTCTCAGAATGGCTAGGAGGGCTGGTCTTCGAATTCCTTGCCCACCAAGCTACTGTACCTGCTGCCCCAGGCCAGGACCCTGCCCCACCCTCTGTCCTGAGTGGAGGGATGATTGCAGGTTGCTGTGAGCCTTTGCAGTAAGGCAGCCCTGGGGCTGAGCCCACCATCCTGTGCCCAGGTGGGTGCCTCCTTTAAGGGAGGCCATATACGCTCTCTCTTCCAGGACCTGGAACCATTCCTAACCCTAAACAAGGTGGGGGTGTTGCCATCCCTGTGGACCTTGCACACAAGTGGGGCAACCAAGTCTTAAAAGGCTGCTAGGAGTTGGCGGAAGGACAAGGGTGTGGGAAGGGCACTGTAGTGGGGGCAGCTGGGCACAGGCAGAGGTGCCTCGCGGAGCCTTCACTCTTTCCCTGCCCGGGTCTCCCAGGATCCATCCCGGGCCCTGGGTTTCCAGCTCTCCCTGTCCCTTCGAGCAGCTGCTCCTATCCTCCCCCAAAGTCCAAATCCCTCCCTTCCCTGTTCCCAGCAAGACCCCTCAGGCCTCTCATAACTGGCCTGGGGACCCCACACCGCCCTGCCCAGCCCTGGTCCCTGTCCTCATGGAATCACCCTGCTCGGGGCCTTGTGGGTTTCGCATGTTCAGCCTGGGGAATGCCCGGGAATCACACCATTTACATTTGAACCCACTCTCTTGGGCCCTGTCCAGGCAGAGTCATTGTGAAAGACACTGCGCTAATTTCGTCCTCGAGGGACTTGGTTCTCCAGAGCTGTCCACCTGGAGGAGATGCCCGTGGGATACCGGGAAAGCGGGGCCTTGTGGGGCAAGGCCAGTGTGTGCTGCAGGGCGGCTGAGCCTTCCCCATATGCCAGGTGGCCACCTGGATGTGTGGTGTTGGATCCCAGGACAGCCCTGCTCACGAAGTCAGTGGTACCATCCCGTGTGTCAGGTGAAAATGAGGCTCAGAGAGGCAGAGCCCAAGACCCCAAGACCAGACACCTTGTCAGCGGCAGAAGGGGATTAGAAGCTTAGTCCCTTTCTAAACTGGCCTTTGAAAAAGGTGGGGATGGGAGGGAGGGGTGGCCACAGTGTCCCCAAGACCCTGAAGGACATGAGGGATGAATGTGAGTGATTGAGGGATGGGACCGACCTGTCTGTCTTCCTCTGGGTCAGAGAGAAGCTCCGGACCCGCAGGGGAGCTTCCCAGGCCGATAGGGATATCATAGGGGCCACATGTGCAATTTTAAATTTTCTAGAAGCTACCTTATAAAATTCTTTAAATGAGGGAAAATTAATTTTAGGAACATATTCTCTTTAATATATCCAAAATAATTATTGTTTTGACACATAGATAATATAAATTACTAATGAGATTTTTTACAGTTTGTTTCTTGGGGTACTGAGTCTTTGAAATCGGGTATATTTTACACCCACCACATGTCTCAATTCAGACGTTAATTAAATCTTTGAAAATACTTGATCTGTGGGGTTGGAAGATTTGCAGCTGAAAAAGGAGATTTGAAGCTTGGTCTGCCTGAGTCCAGCCCTTGTTTTTTGGGAGCCCAAGTTGATCCAAACATACTTGAAAGTTTTCCAATAACTGAATCGAACATCTTTTCTTTAAGTTCATTGAAATTAAATGAAATTTAAAATTCAGCTCCTTGGTGGCGCTGGCCATGCCGCAAGTGCTCAAGCCACATGCGGCTCGTGGCTCTACCGGCCGCATTTCCGCGAGAGTCCTCGGAACTCCAGAGGCTTTGCCCTGAGCTGCCGACGGTGGCGATGGGAAACGCTGCTGTCTCAGGAACCCTCTCTCAGGCTCTGGCCGCTGACTTCCTGAGGCCCCCACGACACAGCGGGGGCCCCTGGGGGATCCTATCCCTATCCCTCCCCTGCTCCTTTCCTGGGAAATGTTTACATTCCAGACACTCAGCTCTCTACCCCGGCTCTTCCAGGCTCTGCATTTTTCACATAGCTGAGCAGAGACCTGGGCTGGCCTGGCAGCCCCTGCTGGGTCCCTTCTGCCTTCCTGGCTGTCCCATCAGGTGTGGCCATTTGCAGGGCAGGCCGTGTTCCCGGCAAAGAGCCAGGCTTGAGCCCCCTGCCCCCGCCATTCAGCCCTGGGCATCCCCAAAATAGGCACTCGTTGGCGCTTTCCTCCCCGGCCCGACCCCAAAAGGACGGGACTGGTGGGGAGGCGGGCAGCCATTGAGTTTGCTAAGCTATCATGCCAGCTGTCACCAGCTGTCACTTATCTCTGCTGCTTTGAGGCCTGACAGGGCTTCGAAATGGAAGGTGAGCCCCAGGCCTAATGAGGGTCCCTCACCGATGTCAGCTGTTTCTACACGGCAGCGTCTCTATGGTTAGAAAAGTCTTGAAAGCAGCTAATTGGCATCGCCCTCCCGGGTTCTCACCCAGCTCTGCAGGGTCGGTATCCCCTGGGGTGGGAGGTGGGGGTAGCTGATTAAGAAACAGAACCAGATGGTTTGTCGTTTGAAATCTGTAGTGTTTACGTTTCTACCTTTCCAACCTGCGGTTCCATCCCTGGGCCTGCTGCCTCAGGGGAATACTCGGGAGCCCCAGGCAGAGACAGGGGTCAAAGAGTGGTCCTCAATACAATTAGCGATTGTGAAATCTTTAGAAAGTAAGTAAATGTTCAACAGGAGGCCTGGTGAGTTAGGGAATTGCCCCTTAGGGAATATTCTTCAGCTGTTTAGAAGTTGTTTTAGAGCTTTTATTTAGTCGGGCATGGTGGCGCGTGCCTGTAGTCCCAGCTACTCGGGAGACCGAGGCGGGAGGATCGCTTGAGCCCAGGAGTTTGAGGTTGCCGTGAGCTGGGCTGACGCCACGGCATTCTAGCCCGGGCAACAGAGTGAGACTCTGTCTGAAAAAAAAAACAACAACGTTGTTTTAGAGCTTTTAACAACCTTGGCTGGCTTTAAGTGGAAGAACAGGCTACAGAGCGTTACCTGTACAGGAACAAGGCACGATTTTAAATACAGACAGACGTGCAGACGTTTACAAGCACAGAAAAGGCTCACCGGACTTACACCGTGATGTTAGCAAGGGTTGCTTCTGGTCATGGGAGTCTGGGTAATTTTTTTCTTTTTGAAACTCCTTTATACATTCCAAGTTTTCTACAGTGTGTGTGTATTACTTCGGTAATAAGCAATGGACAAAAGCATGTACCTGTAGTAACATTCCAGAAACTTCCTCCCTGGGAAGATGGTTGAGGAGAACTTGGTGATGACAAGGGCATGTGAGACAGCTGACTGGGGGCTGAAGGGACCTGGGACGCCCAGAGCCGGTGTTTCCACTGTGCCAACCCCCCACCCACATCTCCCTGACCCACACCCAGCTGCAGGAGGGCTGGGTCAGTCACCTAGGGCACGGGTGTCGGAGGCACCGAGGCAGAGTTCCTGGAGAGCACCAAGTGTCTGACGTGGCGCCAGGTAGAACGAGCTGTCAGCGATGGCCACTCGGCCAAGGACAGGAATGGACTGAGGGTGGGGCCCAGACAGGTCTGGGTTTGGCTCCAACATTGGGGGTGTCTGGGAGAAGCCTGAAAGGGACCGAATCCCTGCTGCCTGCCGGGGTGGCTCTGTGCTGCCAGCCATGGCAGGGTGGAGGGGACACATCCTCAGGCCGGTGCCGTGTGCCTGTCGTTGCAGACCGTGGAGCACGGCTTCCCGCACCAGCCCAGCGCCCTCGGCTACAGCGCCTGCCTGCGCATCCTGGCCATCGGCACCCGCTCCGGAGCCGTCAAGCTGTATCCTTCCATTCCCTCCAGGTGGGCCCTGGAGGGGGCACGGGGGCCTTGGGACAGTGATGTTCATCCCAAATCCCAAAGCACATCTTTTTCCTCCTTGCCCATGGGCTGTTGGGATAAGAGCAGGACTTTCCTGATTTCCAGCTTTGAAACTGATTTTCTTCTGGAGAGGGGCAGGATAGAATAGTTGGTGGGAGGTCAGAACCAAGCCTGGCCAGCTGCTTAGGTGCCCTTGCGGGGAGGAGGGGGATGTTGAAACTGCCCAAGGAGGTACAGGTTTATTTTGTCTCCTGTGTCCTTGCAGGGACATTCAAGCCATCTCCTCTCTTTGGGGTTCCCTTTCTCACCTATTGTTGGAGATCTCACAAATCCGTACAAGGCAGGGGTGGGGCAGTGGGGGGGACCCTGCTGGCAGGATAATGTGCCCTCAGAGAGAGACTTGTCCCCTGTGTCTTTTCCTTCCGCACTGTGGCGTCTCAGACCTGTTTGGCAGGGGCCACTCTGGGGGCTGGGGCTCCCAGAGAGGAGGACGTGCGGCCTGTGTCTCAGCCAGTGCTCGCGGAGCGGCCGGCAGCGGGCGGGAGACTAGAGCATGCTCTCTTGCCCCCCTTCCCGGGCTGCTGTTGGGGGAATCTCCCCAAAAGCAGATGGGGCATATCCCCCTTTCTGTCCCCTGCCTCCTTTAGCTAAAGGTGACCCCTCTTGTCCCCGGGGATGTTCCACACATCCTCTTGGGAGTCAACCCCGAATACAGTGAGTGGAGGCAGGTGACAGGCCAAGGACATTTTATTTTTAATCTTTTTACTCGATAAGAGTCTGAAGTAGACTGGCCCCAGGGCTCTGTCCCCAGGGGTGGCCTTGGGCGGGAGAGCAGCTCTCGGGCAGCGGCTCTCCAGATCCCACCAGACCCAGCGGAGAGCAGAGCCGCTGCTTGGCAGGGACACTCCTTCCCTGGCCTGAGGCTGGACATTGTCCAGTTGGGTCGTCCTTTATCCGAAGCATCGGGTCTGGCCTGGCTCGGGCTCTGGGTGGTTTCAGAGGCCACCCTGCAGCGCTGCAAGTCTTGGACACCCTCCCCAAGGGCAGGGGGCTGGGGAGTTGGGAGATGGGGGACCACCTGAGATAGCTCGGCTGGCACTTCTCCAGCAAAGCCCTCACCCCTCCCTGTTCCTCTCTGCCACGACGGGCTGGGGGTGTGCAGGAGGGCAGGGGCCGTGCTGCCGGCCCAGCCTGCCCTAAGCTGGTTAATCATTGCCAGGTCACGGCCAGATCCTGGTTACCGATCCCTGGTGCCAAGGCTGCTGGGGGTGGGCCCACAGGGGTGCCCTGTGTTTTCTCAAAGGTGCCACCAAGCGACAGCCGATGGGTCTGTGGCAGCTCAGGCTGGGGATGGGGCTGAGGCAGCCTAACGGTTGCCAAGATACAGCTTCACCTTTTAAGGAGTTGCCCCCACCTGCCTGGCTGGGAAGATTGCCCTGGGGGTCAGGTCACTGGACATGGGTCCTGCTCTCGGGGAAGGGCAGCCCTCCTCTGTGCTTGTGTTTCTTGTCACATGGGCCCAGAGGGCCTGGCACTCAGGGTAGGGGAGGGGGGGTGTCCAGCCTCCAGAGCTTTTCCTGAGCCTGCTCCCAGCTACGGAGCCCCGGGGGTGGAGTTCATGGGACTACACCAGGAGAACAACACAGTGATGCAGATCCACTTCCTGCCTGGCCAGGTGAGGGGCTGGGCTGGGGAGGACGTCAGGAGGGACAGGGAACCGCCTCCGTGCCCTCTTAACCTCACTTCCTCCAGCAGGGGTGCTATGGAGAGGCTGGCATTTGGGAGCCCTGGGTTTGGCGTTAATGGAATGCCTGGGACTACCTTCCTTTGCCCAGCTGGCGGCTCGTGGGCCACCCCGAGAGCAGCCAGGGGTCTTTTGGTCCTGAGCTGTTTGAATCGACCCGGCTGGGCCTCCCCGGCATAAAGGCCTCATGAATGCTGGCGCTCCCTGGTTAATGAAACAGCATGCCCCTGTGCCCTGTCCCTCCCCAGTGCCAGCTGGTCACCCTGCTGGACGACAACAGCCTGCACCTGTGGAGCCTGAAGGTCAAGGGTGGGGTGTCAGAGCTGCAGGAAGATGAGAGCTTCACGCTGCGTGGTCCCCCAGGGTGAGGACTTTGTCCCCTTCCTCTCCCAGCCTGACCCTTGCCCCCAACCCCAGGTGAGCTCACCCTTTGAGGAGAGCCGGTGCCTCTGCAAGCTCTGGTCTCTGGGTGGAGGGGGCGGGGCTGCGGCCTCCCTCCTCCTTCCTTGCTCCCCTGTCATCCTGGGGGGTCCCACGTATTCTTCCTGCCTCCTAGCCCAGCTTCTCTGCCAACTGTCTCCTTTCTTAGCAGAAAGTAACCAATGTTTGTCCTGGCCTGAGATGGCGTTAACCCCATTAAAGGACTTTATAGGCCATTTTCCCTAGGCAAGGCCTTCCCTGGGGCCAGTGAGGGCAGCCAGGAGTCAGGGGGGGATTCCACAGGTCTCCCCAGCCTGGGCAGCAGCAGCCAGCTCACAGGCAGCCGTTCCCGCCGTAGGGCTGCCCCCAGTGCCACACAGATCACTGTGGTCCTGCCGCATTCCTCCCGAGAGCTGCTCTACCTGGGCACCGAGAGCGGCAACGTGTTTGCGGTGCAGCTGCCAGCCTTCCGCGCACTGGAGGACCGGACCATCAGCTCGGACGCCGTGCTGCAGCGGTGAGCCCAGGGACCCTGCAGCCGCTGGAAACCCGTCCCCTCCACTGGGCGTGTCTTCTCTTGGTCCCCAGTAGTATTTCTCAGGAACTTATAATTTCTCTGCTGGGAAGTCCATGGGGCCAGGAGGGGAGATTCACAGCTCCTGTCCCCCAGATTGAGAATCTATCACCCTATAACATGTTAGCATCATCCCGGGGGTAACTTGTCACCCATTTAAAGGCCCTATGTGACTGGGTGATTCCACCAACTCTTAGTCTAGTGTCCTTTGCGCTGAAACCATGTGTTTCAAAACCCCGGGGCTCTGCAGCGGGGGAGTTGGGCCCAGACGTCCCTGCGTCAGCTGGGGCAGCTCCCGATGCCACTTTACGTTCTGGGCGCTGTGCTCAGAGCCCCCCTGTGCGCAGGCTCCACGGCTAAGAAGCCTTGACAGCCGCGAGCCTGTGGGTTTGTGGAGATCATTTCAGGAGCTTTGCTCCTCCACGGTGGTATCTACAGTAGATAGGGGGTCAGACTGGGTCTGGGAGTGGAGAGGGAGGGGGACAGGGCCACAAACGGGGAGGAGATGAGGGAATCTGGCAAGAGCTTGTGGGGACCGAGGTGGTCGTGGTGGAATGTTCTATGGTTCCGAGGGGCAGGAGGAGGCCGGGGTGCTGGGATCCTGCCCCTGGAGGGCTCTGGACCAGGCCTGGGACAGACTCGCACAGCGGGCAGGCTGGGCTCTCAGCCCCGAGGGATGGGGAAGCAGGGCCCATCTGCCAAGGCCGGGCGCGACTGGCTGGGAGGATTCCTGCTCGGCAGGGTAGGGCTGGGGCAGCGTGCCCAAGGTCTGCAGGACAACTGGCGGCCCAGCTGTGGGCAGGACGGGAGGAGGACCTGTTTCTCAACAGGTGGCCATGCCAGTACCCAACTTCACATGGTTAGCTGGTGGGAGTCTAGCTGGGGAGGGGCCTCAGAGCTCCTCCTGCCAATCTAAATCCTTGTCTGACTTTTGCTTTGACAACATTTAGATAAGATTTTTTTTTTTATTAGACAAGGTCTTGTTCTGTCATCTAGGCTGGAGTTCAGTGGTGCAGTGGTGTGATCATAGCTCACTGCAACCTCAAAGTCCTGGGCTCAAGTGATCCTCCTGCCTCAGCCTCCTAGACAGCTGGGACTATAGGCTTGCATCACCATGCCTGGCTAATTTTTTAATTAATTTTTATAGAGGTGTGGTCTTGCTATTGCCCAGGCTGGTCTCAAACTCCTGGCCTCAAATAATCCTCCCGCCTTGGCCTCCCAAAAGTGCTAGGATTACAGATGTGAGCCACCGCACCCAGCCACTTACCTTAGTTTTTTCAAATGTCCAACCCTTTAATCTCACGACGCTGAGAAGTTCTCCATGCTAAAGATACAGGCGTGAGAATATAGGGCTGTTCGTTAATGACAAAGAGTTGGAAACCGTCTAAGGAGGAAAAGTCTGTGGTCTATTTAGGTGGGAAAAAAAGTAAGTTGCAAAATGGTGTATACAGTATAATTCCAGTTTTTAAGTGAATGAACAAAGGCAAGTGTGCACACACACCTGCAAGGGAGCAGACTGGAGGGCAGTCACAGGCGCCGGGCGGTGGCCTGGCTCCTGCTCTACAACTTCCCTTCGATCTTCTTCCTGATGTCTCTGTGCGTTTTCCAACATGGCGTAGTTCTTGCATTATTTGCTTTCAATTTAAGAGAGATTTATTTCCTAACTATACAAGGAATACCTCATTTTGGAATCCTCTTCAAAAGTTTAAACTTTACAAATAAGGTTCCCCTTTGACCTCAGCTCCCAATTCTAATCCTCAGGAGGCCAACGCTGGTAGGATGTGAGGCCTGCATAGATTTGGTTTGGGCACAGAGATGCCCTTGGGGTCTGGACCATTTCCACTCCCTACTTGGCATCCTTGGTGTTGGCTGTTGCCTCTGTGTCTGCTGCCTCCTGATTTTGTGTTGGCTGCGGCACCTCCAGATTTCACATCAGCATTCTAGGCCCAGAGCAGGAGGAGGGGTCAAGGCTCAAGGGCCAGGCCAACTAATAGAGGGTTTTGGGGTTTTTTTTTTTTTTTGGGAGACAAGAGTCTCGCTCCGTTGCCTAGGCCAGAGTGCAGTGGCATCAGCCTAGCTCACTGCAACCTCAAACCCCTGAGCTCAAGCGATCCTCCTGCCTCAGCCTCCC